CTCTGTTGGCTCTTTCCAATTCCAGTGTGTGTGTGTGTGTGTGTGTGTGTGTGTGTGCCAGTAGTTGAAGTCAGGTCTCTTCCCCTATCACTTTACACTTTATATTTTGAGGCAAGGTGCCTCTCACTGATTTCCAAGGCTGTCATTTGGCTACACTGGCTTGGCCAGTGAGCCTCGGGACTCTACCTGTCTCTACCATACCCACAACCCTCCACTTCCTCAGCACTGGCATCACAGACACATGCTTCACATCATTTTTTAACACATGTGATGGGGCAAAACTAGGGTCCTCTTGCATGGGTGGCAGCACTTCCTATTTGCTAAGACCAAAGGCTTTGGAGCCACACATGATTGTTGTGAATTTTATAAACAAGTCCAAATTCTGCCCTTCAAAACCTATTCGCAGTGCAGCTCTTTCTTGCCGCCTCCAGCGAGGACAGCCCATCTTGGTTAGACCGTCTCAATCGCTTGCTTGATTTCTGCCACTTTTAACTGCTTCTAACGCTGCCTGACATTTGCCCATCGACTTGAAGTGACTCTAATGAAACACACGCCAAAGAGACTTGGTGCTGTGCTCCAACAATCAGGGGTTCTCATCCAACTTATGGTGACAGTTACAGACTGTCACAACACATGGGGCCCTACAGTAGCAGACCCTTATCCCATTGCTTCCTCTCTTGCGGCTTTTAGTGCAGTCTTGCTAACCTCTTCCTTAGACTTTGGACTCTTTAGACCTCTATTCTCTCTGTTCTCTGCCTAGAACAGTCCCCTCCCACACAGCTTTACGCCTAACTCCCAGTTTCCTTGCATCTTTGCTACCCCACCTCTCCGTTTAAAGTTGTAACAATATGCTCTTTGTATACCGTTCACATTTTACCCAACCCTGCGCTTTTCCCTCTCAGCCTTGGCCACTGCAGTGACTTCTGCCTGCTTGTCTGTTCCTCTTTCTCCTGCCCTTGTCTTAAACAGAGGCAGACATCTCTGTTTTGTGCCTAGTATTCCCTGAAATCCAATTGAAAAGACACAAAGACGTGACTAAAACTTTCTTGAGTGACTTTTGTGTTGTTTTTTGGGTTTTGTTTTTTTTTGATACAGGGTTTCTCTGTATAGCTTTGGCTGTCACTTTGTAGACCAGGCTGGCCTCGGACTCAAAAGAGCTGCCTGCCTCTGCCTTCCTGAGTCCTGGGATTAAAGGCCTATGCTACCATGTCTGGCTTTTAATGACTATTTTAAAAGCCTAGTAGGCTTTGACTTGAGAATGGCCTTTGAGCGTGGGAGGAGAACACACCCACAGGGACATTCTGAAGGGCAGGTCAAGAAACAGAGAGACACCTGCATCTTCTACTTTTCTACCCAGAATCTAACCCATAAATTTCCTATAAGCTCTTGAGCATGAGTATAACTGTCTATTTTGCTTTCGATTCCTCCATGTATTTATCAAACTTCCCCTTCCATGGGGGAAAATTTCTAAGCTAGATATTTCCTCATTGTGAAATTTACTGATGGGAACTTTGAGACTGTTGATGCTTTCTCTCTGGAAGAGACAAACTAGCTTCTAGATGTCCTTGATTTTCACACTTTTCTCTTTTTCCGCACATGATAATTAGCTTTTACAATACTCCAAGCATAGATTTTCCAGGTAATGTAAAACACCCAGTTTTTGTTCTTTCTATTTTTCCTCTAAGTACATGTATTTTATGAAGGTGACAGATCATAGATGAGTCACTTTCTAAGAGGAGCCCTTAATGAAAGGACCACAGAAACGAGGCAAAGTTTATCTCTACCAGTGGACTTTGTAAATAACGGATGGGAATGCTGTTGCCAAAGGAATCTGAGCCCTTTGCCTTCCTTGCGATTCCTTCAGAACTGGCATATTCACCAGCATCCATGCTGTGGCACTGCTTTGAAATCCTTTCTTCCTTCTACACCCTACTGAGGAGCCTCATCCTCATCTAGGGATGAGGTTTTCAGATAGTCAACCCAGCAGGCCCAGATATGTCATGTTTTAAAGAATGTGCTGCCAAGGCTGGTCTGTGACTTAAAGAGGAACACATTTTCTCTGTAACTCTGCACTGCGGTGAAAGCAGCCTGGTTGATAAAAGCGTTTTGCTCTGAGACTTTATCAGCAATGTGACTTATCTGAATGCTGGCTTTCCTTCTAGGTTCCTGGTCTTCTGGAAGCTGCCAGGCCCAAGGAACCTATGAGACAGTTCTTCTGTTCCTTGTGGAAACTTTAACTTCTACCACTGGCCAACTTCTGGAAGCTGCCTGAGACACCCAGAGCATTTTCATAGCCACGTCTCTGTAGGCCCTTCTCAGGCTCCTGGACTTGCCTGTGTTTGGACAGCTCCACCTGCTGGCTGCTCCTGCTCCCTTTTTACTTAATTTTATCCCAGTCTCTCCTGTTATTGTGGCCTGAGGCCTGTGAGTCCTTTTACTGAGTCGTTGACATATGGGTGGTTCAGAGGACTCCTGAAGCAGTAGATACAGTATGAAATACCCTTTCTTTTCCTAATGTCCCTAATGAAATGATAACAGGTCTCCAAGTCTTACCAATTTTCAGAATTCATGTTTGAGCCATTTGTGAAGATTTCATACTAAAACCTTGCTGTACACAGAGGGCTCGCTGAAGCTGCTGTGTAGGACAGGGCTTTAATCACGAAGTTTAGAAGTGCTAGGGTCCTGGGCCACGGTGGTGGTACATGCCATCAATCTCAGCGCTTGAAAGGCAGAGGAAGCAGGATCTTCCTATGGTCAAAGTTAGCCTGGAGTACATAGTTTCCTAGGCCAGCCAAGGATGTACAGTGAGGGCCTATCTCAGATGAAAACAAAACAAAACAAAAACAAAACCCCCAAACAAACAAACAAACAAACAAAGCACAACTAAAATGTGAAATAAAAATAAATATATGAAAAAGAGAAACTCTGAGATCCAAATTTAATGGGTTAAATTTACCAGAGGTTAAAAAAAAAACTAAGAATAAGAAATATGATTTTATACATGTGAAAAGAAGTAATTTAGATGTAAATTAATTGTTTAAGAGAACATATATAGGTTATTTTAATTAGTCTAATATTTATTTAGCCTTAATGTAGTAGTAGGCAAATGTCACACTTTGATTTAGTAGCAAAACTTCCCAAAGTAGTCACAGTGTGTTTGGGTCTTCAAACAAACACCCGTAGACTATAGCCTCAAATGCCTGGAAGAGTCTAATGTTAATACGCATACACAAAGCGGCCCACGTAGAAGATAGGACCCGCCAAACTGCACATACATCCTTAGTTACCAATTTTAAACTCCTGTGGAAGTATTATTAAGTTAAAGAGAATCATGGGTAACTCATCATAAACAGGCTTTCAATCGCTGCTCTAAGTCGTAACTGTGAATCACGTAAGGAGATGTCAAAGGAAGATTTTGTAATTAACAAGTTCTACTATGTGGTTTATAGACAAAACACCAACACATGGTGAAGGAGATAAGGTGAAATCAAATTACACTATTATAATGGAATATCACTGCACTGTACTGGCTAGTTTGGGGTCAACTTGACACAAGCTGGAGTCATCATAGAAGAGGGGATCTCAATTGAGGAAATGCCTCCATACGATCCTGCTATACAACATCGTTTTCGGTGAATGATCAGTGGGAGAGGGCCCAGCCATTGTGGATGGTGCCATCCCTGGGCTGGAGGTCCTGAGCTGTATAAGAAAGCAGGCTGAGCAAGCCCTGGGTAGCAAGTAAACAGCACCATTTTAAGGCCTGTGCATCAGCTTCTGCTTCCAGCCTCCTGCCCTGGGTGAGTTCCTGTCTTCAAGACTCTTGATGGTGAACTCTTATGTGGAACTGCTATCAGCACCAGGATGCTGGAGCGTTGCTGTAACAGACTCGGCCACGTTATTTTGGGGAGGGTTGTAAAAGGACTTCAGAATTTTGAGCTAGAAAAGTCATTGAGTGTTGAAAGCTCAGAGCTGTTCTGTGGGAGCTTTGAAGATAAGAATGTACAGGAAATGAGATACAGGAGGGAGGATGGGACTGGGAGAAGAGGGGGGAGGGGCCTGTGGCCTATATGTAAATTGAATTAATTAAAAAAAATGTTGAGATCAGTGCGGACAATGGAAGCCTAGCTTGTGAAGTTTCTGAGGAAAGCAAAGACTCTACTGGGCTTTTTGTGTTTAGAACCTGTAGTTTAGGTTTTCTGGAGCTGAAGAATCAGCTGTGATTAATAAGACACCAAAACTACTAAAGCTAATCCTTTGCGTTGCTGGGATGCTTGATGTTGCTCAGCTGGAGGCGAGAAACTAAGTGATCAAGAAGCATCACTGAGGTGACATCTTTTGGAAAGTGTTTTCTGAGAGTCAGCACACAGAAGGCCAAGGTTGTGCCTCATGCTGGCAGCTGAACCCAGTAGTGTGAGTCACTCGGGTGCAGCTGGCTTTGAAGGTGTGAAGGGGTCATGGAGACCGACTGAGGCGCGCCACTGTGTGGAGGGGCTGGAGTTCCTGAAGAGAGCCCAGGAGAGGTTACTGGTGACAGTGCAGCCCAGTTGCAGCAAAGGACTCCAAGAAGTTTTGGAGATGTCAGTGCCATGGGATGAGCACCAAGAACAGCAGCAGCAGTGGACTGGAGCCAGCCAGTGCCTAGAAGACAAGCTGTGTGTGCCGCAGTGGGCAGATCTGGAGAAGGGGCCATGCCCAGAAGACTGTGAGTGAATATCAGACAGTGGGACATGGAGTTATTTATAGGGCTGGAGTTTGGTTCAGACTGTGAGCGTGCCCTGGCTGGCTCTTCTCTCTTGAAGTAAGAAAGCAGGCAACGTAATTCTGATTTTTACAAGGATCCCACAGTTGAGAGATCTCAAACTTTAAAAGGAGCCTGTTCTGCCTGTCAACTAAAGTACCGCAGACGCTTTCCATAGACCATTCGCTTAGCACCCAGCCATGCATTTGGAAATCCCGGGCAAGACGCTGGTGATGAAATTGTAAGATGATCCTTTACTTACTTGAGGTCAAGGGAGGGCTTAATGTTTCTGGGGGGCAGGCTGGGGACTGGCGGTTGTGTTGGATGAGGCGCTGGAGGTGGTGGCAGAGAGGTTGTCGCGTAAGGCGTCTGGCTTTTGCTGGTACCTAAGAAGCAAAAGGATGGTAAATTTAGACACATCTTCAAAGCATAAGGACTTACTATTCCAAACACGCAGAAACAATTTTCAACAGAATATTAGAAATATGACCCTTGTTGAATGAATGCTTTAAAGTGTCTAATATTTTAGCAAAGTTCCTTTTCTGAGTATTTTATAAACCTTCGTTTTAACGTTCTTGATTTTGTGAACAATTGTACATCAACTTTATATCACATTCTTCATGATTGTGCAAATGCACTTAATTTTTCCATTGGGTCTGTATTTTAGAGCAAAAAGGTCTAGTATTCAATCTACTCTCACACTTTTGTTTTTGACAAGCTCTTTAAACTTTTAACAAATTATATTTTGTTTATGTTATGTTCTTTTTAAGTCTGGAAGCCTATTAAATCATCCCACAAGTAAATTATATACAGTGTTAAAACTATACTGTAGATAGTAAGAAAATTGAAGCTTGACTCACCTATATTCTCATGACCTAGCAATGACTACTGAATTGCATGCATTTTTGAGCATTTTGATGCAAATGTATGACATCTCTCCATCCCAGTATTGTTTCTGTTCATTTTCTCTAATGTGACTCTGTTGCCCTTTTAATTAATTAATTACTTTTTGATACAGAGTTTTTCTGGGTAGTCCTGACTGTCCTGGGCTCGCTTAGTAGCTCAGGTTGGCCTCGAACCCAGCTCTCTGTTACTTTTAAATTCTGCAACGTGGTACTAATGCTGAGATTTCTCTTTGGCAGCCTCATGGCTCTGATATACTGAGAGAATATTCTTCGGGGAAGAGCTGAATTACATGGGAGTAAATCTTGGCTTGGATCGGTTATTTTCTAGTGTCTTTTATAAAATGGAGCTAACAATGATGTCACCTTAGATGGGTATTCTCTTCAGCTCTACAATATAAGGTGACCAATAAACGTATCATCAATATGTAAGTACAAAGCACTGACAATAGTGTCTGGTCGATAGTTAAGCTTAGTGTTTTGTTTTTTATTTAACAAGTATCTATAGAATTCCTACAATATGCCAAGTTCTGTTCTAGGTACTAGGAACACAGCAGAGATAAATCAGCAATTTCTGAGAAAATATATTATACTTAAGTAATGCAATCTGCAATACGATCTGTCATATAAATTGTGAGTTGTACAATGAGAGGTGGGAATAGTGTGTAACTGGATGTGATGGCCATTCTCTTCAGCTCTACAGTTAATGACCTGACCATGGTATACTGGAATTGGACCATATAAGCAATTTTTTTTTCATAGAAATTGAAAACACCAGGCTTCATTCATTATTTTTTCCACTATGTAGAGAAGATGCTGACAATGCAGATTAGACTCACGTGTACCACTCTCTAGTTGTCATATTATGAATAGTGTAAAATCAGGGAAATATTCCTAGTGCTTAGCCAAATATTTATAGTTACTTTCCAACTCAGCAAAACACTCGCTTCATTCACGAATGAATGCAGCTCGGATAAGGAACTTTTACTACCTTTGTTTACTGATTAACTGAAAATATCAATCAACATTTAGGTTAGGGCTGCATTAATTCATTGATTTCAACTATAAATTGGCTACCGGATACAACAATTGGCGATAGGGGATTTTAAGCAACAACTATTTATTTTGCTATCTCTAGGTTATGTGCTCTTCTGCCTTCTACTGGTAACGCTTACTGCATGCACGTAAGCGCACCGGCACACACACGCCCCCTGTCCCCCATGTTATCATCAGTTTCTCGTGAGAACTGGTGCTTGAACATTTGCCAGCATGGTGCCAAAATTTTTTACTTCCCCATGGGGGAGGACAATTGCCTCAGCATCTTCCCTTCTTGCATTCACTCTTTTCCTGTTGCCCAATTCTCCATTTACTTTCTGACTTGATATTTTATGCTTTAAAAACGTTAGGCCATCTAGTTTCTTTGAATATGGGGTTTGTGTCTCTTACCTCCCTTGCTTTGGGCTGACCATTTTGAGACAGAAAGAGGATACCACTTCGGAAAATGTGTTAATTTTATACAAGTTAAACACTGGTGCAGTTTTCCATGTTTATAGCTATGTTTCTTTTAAAGTGCTTAATCCATTCAGTTATTTATATTTTATATAATATTTGCTTGCTCTTATCCACTTAAATGGTGCCTTTATCAGGAATATTAACCTTGGGGCTAGAGAGACGGCTCAGTGGCTAGCAGTGTGCGCTGCTCCTGTAGATGAATCTAGTTCCTAGCACTTAGATCAGGGCAGCTCACAACCACTTGGAACACCAGATCCAGGGGACCTAACAGCCTCTTCTAGACTCTGTTGGAGTAGCGCGCGCACACACACACACACACACACACACACACACACACACACATACACACACAGACACACAAACTAAAAATAAAATAAAAAATTAAAAAGAATAGTAATCTTTTTTTTGCTTCTCTCCTGGCCAAAGTGACAACTGAATCTAATTTTGCTAATTTAGCTTTTGTCTCTTTACATTTGAAAAAAAAAAACAGCCAAAACCTACCTCACCAGTAAAGATATCTGAACAGCCTTTGACAAGAACACAGCATTACATCAGTTTGAAAGTATGTAAGCGACCAACCAATGTGGTACTTGTCTCTTAACGAATACTCTTATAGGTCCAATGTGGTCCATGCAGCCTGGTATTGACTGACATGCTATTTTATGACCCACAACTGTGCTTATTAATTTGAAATGCCTCTTTCACCAGAGCATACATATTAGATTATTGGGCAGATGAAAAGATGTTTTTGCTATTTTGATTTATAAATAAGAGATTTGCAGCCAAAAAGAATAAGCTGCTGTGAGTGAATGTTAATAAACCATTGACTACATACAACGATGCAATGTGTATTAACCATCTGTGACTTATATTTTATGGAAAAAAAAGTTTGGCAAGCAGGAGCCATTAGCATATGAGGTGAACTTAGGACTGGAAGGAAGAAATTACGGACAAGGGCTAGGCAATGTCAAGTCTCGTGGATCGGAAGCACTGAGACCTCTCTGCCTGCACCAGGCTGGTGGAGCTGCATCAGTGGCCTGGTGGACACCCCCTGTCCTGCTTTCCTGTCACCACATGCTGTTCATTAGTTACAATAGCCAGAGTCATTTCGGAAGGGTGTGCTTGCTTTTTCCATTGAGCTTGGAACAGACGGGGGTGAGTTTCAGTTGCTAGCAATCTTGTGTGCCACCCAGACAGGGCTTGCCTGAGAGTGCACCAAGGCCAGAGCAGGGCAGGACTCGGAGACAGAAAGGAAAAGACTGGGTTTGAAATAAAGATGGCCATTGGGAAAGGGTTAAAAATGAACTGTAAGACTTAACAGAGTACCAAATTAACTGTTAACTGGTCCTGTCCTTCACCATCCATTCAAGTCTTCATGCGATACGCTAGGAGGTCGTAGTGAAGTATTTCGCTGTGCAAAGTCTATGGTCACCTTCAAATACTGCAAAAGTTCATTTGCATGTATGAAAAATGATTCTAAAGCAAAGCATCTTTTTCTCCTGGGACAAAGAAACAAGAAGACTAACCTCTCTCTCTCTATATATACATATACATATCAGATATACATGAATACATAGGAGCACCTTCCCAACACACAGTGTGTAATATGACCTACGGCCTGCCCTGGAACCTGGTTCTGTTGCGTGGCCTATGCGGGAAACACTGAGAAGCCTCTGACAGTATGAAATAAGACTAGTTAATTTGCATTTCTATACTTGAGGCTAAGGACTTTGACCTTGCTTATGAGATGTTCCGTCTGTGTGAGCATGCACATCTCTTTATTAATTTGTAAAAAAAAAAAAAAAAAAAAAAGCTTTGTATTTTGATAAGCAGCCGCAGAAGCACATTTTCCCTTTATGATTTTATTTCATAGACTAAAACATCATACAGAATATAGGCACATAGGCAGATCCTGCTGTGCATCTCAAAGCACTCTTAAAACATTTAGAGTACTCTCAGCAGCCTTCAGGGGTATACGGTCTTGAGTTTGGTTTCACAATATTTTTGCTTGCCTTAATTCAATGTCTTCTGTTCTGACCTTCAAAGGATTTGTAAACTGGGGTGCATGGGAAATTTTGCAAACCCATTTAGTTGAAAACAAAACACGGGATCTGTATTAGTAAGAAAGCTTTTGATGTGAAAGCCAAGTGCCAAGAAAATGTGAGGCAGTTTGAACAGTCCATCAAAATGGAAAGATCAGTAATACTGAAACATGAGAGCCACAGAGGTAGTCAAAGCCAAAATTAGGATGGAGGTGAAGAGGTAGAGATAAAAATGATTCTCATGATAAATGAGAGGAAAGAAAGCGAACTCTTCAGTCACATCTCTAGCTCCTCATCTTATCTGTGACTTTAACATCTGGAGCAGTAGATATCAAACTTTCTAATGCTGTGACCCTTTAATACAGCTCCTCATGCTGTAGTGACCTCCAAACATAAAATTGTTTCATTGCTACATTACAATTGTAAATTGTAATGTAAATATCTGATATGCAGGATATCTGATATGTGACCCCTGTGAAAGGGCCATTCAGCCCCCAAAGGGATTGGGACCCACAGGTTGAGAATCACTGATCTAGAGAGTTGAATTATTGCTTTGCATTTTTAAATACTCAAAATTTATTTATTTATATTTGTGAAGATGCCATTTCACCTATGTGGAAGTCAGAGAACAGCTTGCAAGAGTTAGTTCTCTCTTTTGTTATGTAGGTAGGTCTCAGGGACCAAACTTGCGTCCTCAGGCTTGAAGGCTAGTGCTTTCTCCTGATGAACCATTTTGACGGCCATCCTTTTAAATTTTTATTTTATTTTTATTAATTACAGTTTATTCACTTTGTATCCCAGTTGAAGCCCCCTCCCCCACTCTGTTCTAATCCCACCCTCCCTTCCTCCCTCTTCTTCTCCTATGCCCCTCCCCAAGTCCAATGATTGGCGAGGTCCTCCTCCCCCTCCATCTGACCCTAGTCTACCAGG